GGATATTATTGGAAAAGGCAGTGGGTCCTGGAAAAATTCTCTGTTTCTAGGTGAACTATCCAATGCTGGTTGTTACGTGTTCTTGGACCAGTCCCCTCAGCACAACGTCATTTCTCTGGAGTGGTTGCCCATTCCAAAATGCTTCGTTTACCATCCTTGTTCGAGTTATTGAAACGGACATGCTAGTGCTTCTCAACTATGTCACCCAGCATGATTCGAGATGCGTTTGGAACGATTCCGTGTCTTTCGCAGGTGCTGAGCAGGTTCGTTCACTGCTTGATTCGCTTTTGTAACTTTTGCAACTTGTTCGCTCTCTACATAACCTGTAATTAGGTGTCCTTCTCGTTCTCGCTTGGTGATCCCCGAAATGGTTGGCAGAATATTACTCGAGATGCCTTGGTGGATGCGTCGCGAGCGTTGTCAAGCATGAACGCAAGTAAGAAGAGAGAAGGCAATGTTATACTTCATCCAGGTACTAACCAGTCAATTTTATACTACATTCATCATATTGACAAGGCTGTCATCGGTGTTAAGGAGACGTCAAGCTAGTGTCGATAGGATTTCGTGGTGCCGTGGTCGTGAAACAAAGAATTGTGCAGGCTCGTAGCGCTCACTGGAAATTCTTTTTGACAGCCGCTGACTGGTTGGCTTCAAATCAAGATAATGAGGTTAATTTACCACTTTCATCAAAAAAGTGTCTACTAGGCCCTAGTTTTATTTCCAAATGTTTCAGGGTGGCTGGGCAGTTCCTGTAGAGCGAGCCATTGCTGAACGTCGACTTGTGCTTGATGCTGGCTGGTACTCAGCCATGGCTCAGGTAGTTCTGATATATTTGAAATTCTGACAGAAAAGTCTTATCGTTAGTGCTACTTTATTTCGTTTCAATAACCAACTTCTAGGGTCATGCTCTTTCTCTTCTCACACGTGCTTACGCCGCAACAAAAAATGCTACCTACCTTGCTGTTGCCAGCAAGGCTCTCGATTTATTTGAGAAGGTTTGCTCTAAAGTTCTTTCTGTAGCACTTGGTCTATCCTTGGTATACTTATACTTAATTATTTCTCGTTTTAGGATGCTTCCGCAGGTGGTGTCCGTAATAAACTATTCGGGAATGACTGGTATGAAGAATATCCTACATCTCCGGGCAGCTATGTTCTAAACGGGTTCATTTATTCACTGATCGGATTGTACGACTTCAAAAATGTCAAACTTGGTGATGAAGGTGACTTCTATGTAGACTTTTAACTTTTAATCAATTTTTTGACATTTGTTTTCTATTGTGCAATTTTATGTTCCGTTTCTATAGCCTAAAAAGAAGAGAATGTACCTAACGTACTGAATGATAGCAGCGCGTAATAAAACGTTTCCTTCATTCGAGAGCAGCGATGGACAAGCGATGGGGCGATCGCGTCGCTCCATCGCTTGTCCGTCGCCGAGTGTGACGGCGGTCTTAGTGAGGCATTCTTTTCCTTCACTGAACTACTTGTTCCAACTTCTCTCGGTGCCAGACGATTGTATCAGGGCTTCTCAGAAAAACCGAGAGCTCCTGAAATTAATGACTGCGAAAACCTTTTTGTATGAAGACGTACTCGCTTCTTGTGTTTCATTTATCTTTGGTTTTTAGCATGGTGCTGCCCATAGTTGCTAGGTTTCTTAGTGTTTTTACTTGTCTTCCCTTCTGTTGGTTGGACATCGCCCTAGTAGTTAAGTTAGTGATTTTTTTTTGTGCAAATTCCGATTTTCGAACGATAGGATCTAAATATCAGAGCAGTATTCACCAGTACCACAAATCTAGGTATTGGTATTAATCAATTACCTTGTAACAACCTTGCACCAATACCTTGTAACATTTACCTCGATACAGTAAGTTCCGGGGTTTTTCTACTTGTTTCGATTCAAGTGTTTCTGTGAATTGGTATCACTAAAGCATCTCATCCTTCAGCACTGGAAGAAGTTCGCCATGGTGTTGAACGAGCTTCAAAGCTATTCTCTACGGGTATGGCTTCGCTTCGAGCTTTGCTACCCTCTCTATGACACTGGAAGTGGATCAATATATGATCTCCGGCATGTAGGATTACACACCGCTCCGAATCTTGCAAGGTTGTGATTGGTGCTCAAATGTTGATGTTATCATAGATTGTT